ATATATATATATATATATATATATATATATATATATATATATATATATATATATAGGATCAGAATACACATTTCAGGAAAAAAACTCTCTCTCTCTCTCTCTCTCTCTCTAAAAAGGAAAAGAAAAACAAACTCTAGCGCTAAATTATCTGAGCACAAACAAGTTACTTTGTATAACTTGCCAAATGCCTCAATTGTAAGTTGCTTTGGACAAAAGCTGTATGTTCATTCATTCATTCATTCATTCATTCATTCATTCATTCATTCATTCATTTTCTTTTCCTTTTAGTCCTTTTATTAATCTGGGGTCACCACAGTTGAATAAACCACCAACTTATCCAGCATTTTTTTTTTCTCCAGGGGATGCACAGACTCATTCACACTCATACGGAATATTTAGCTTATCCAATACACCTATAGAGCATGTCTTTGGACTGTGGGAGAAACCGGAGCACCCAAAGGAAAGTCACGCAAACACGGGGAGAACGTGCAAACTCCAACACAGAATTGCTAACTGACCCAGCTGGGACTCGAACCAGCAACCTTCTTGCTGTGAGGCAAAAAATCCAGAGAAGCAAAAAAATAAAAAAGGAAAAATTTTGTTGAAATTTTGTAGGTTGTAATCTTTTTTTTTTTTTTTTTGCAATATTTTGCTTAAACTGAATTGCATTATCTTTCGAATTTTAAATATGTTTGGAGACTAAATATTACTTTAATAAAAATATCTGTTTAATAAATCTGTTTTGTTTAAATGCATCAAAATACATTACGTATTTTCACTGAGAAATGAAAAAAATATATAAATTTTCAAATAGGGCTGTACTCAATCTTAATTATGCTGAGCACTGGAGTCCATCTGGTTATGTACATAGAAATTGTGGTCTGTTACAGGTTACATAAAATGTGCATGTAATTTATTAGATTACACACTTTTTAAAAAATTTGTCATTTTGATCATAGGTACATATTTTATGATAATTTGATATTTTGTTGCAGTGTTTTAACATGGAGAAAAAATAGTTAATATTCAAAATGTTTTTTTTTTCTTGTTATTGCGACTGGGTGGTTCATTCCGCTGTGTCGACCCCTGCGGGTAAAAAAGGACTAAGCCGAAGGAAAATGAATGTTGCAACTAAGCCCCCATGATGAATGTGAGCATAAACACATGCCTAATGTTTTTGCATATTGAAGTCAGAATTATTAGCCCCCTTTTGAATTTTTTTGTTTTTTTTAAATATTTCCCAAATGATGTTTAGCAGAGCAAGAAAATTTTCACAGTATGTCTGATAATGACAGAAAGTGACAGAAAACCAAAGACTTCATCAGGCCGTATAGCAAATCATTCAAATCTGGTGTCTATTAAATGTAGATCTGAGACTACTATAGAAAAAAAAGCTAAAACTGTTAAGTTAGCGCTTTTAAACATCAGATCACTCAACAATAACTCTCTTTTAGTCAATGATTTTATCAACACAAATTGCCTTGATTTTATGCTTTTAAATGAAACTTGGCTAGATGACAGCTGTAGCGCAGCAGTTCTGAATGAAGCAGCTCCTTTAAACTTTGACTTTTTGAGTGTTTGCAGAGTTAGTAGGAGAGGTGGAGGCATCGCTCCCCTGTTTAAAGATGTGTATGAGTGTAAACAAGTGTGATTTGGTGACTATTTTTCTTTTGAATATCTGAGTATAGCACTAAAAGGGTCTCCATGCATCTTACTGATCATTATCTACAGACCTCCAAAATATTCTCCAGCTTTTATTGAGGATTTTACAGAGCTGTTATCAATTGGAACCTCTGAATTTGATTATTTTAGTATTGCTGGGGATTTTAATATTCATATAGATAATCCAGAAATCAATGCTGTAAAAGAACTGATGACTGTTTTTAACACTTTTGATCTGACTCAGCATGTTCAAGGACCCACACACAATCGTGGACACACTCTTGATCTACTTATAACTAAGGGTTTACACATTTCATCAACTGTTGTTAAGGATGTGGCACTATCTGATCATTTCTGTATCTTTTTTGATATATTGATCACTCCAGCTATTAAAGACAGATCTGTCTCTGTCAGAAAGAGATGCATAAATGAGAACACCAGTGAGCAGTTTATGAAGGCCATATCGCTAGCACCAAGTATATCTGCAGATTCTGTTGATTCTCTCCTTGATTTGTTCAATTCTAAAATTGAGAATGTCATAAATGACATCGCTCCTGTTAAAGTCAAGAAGATGACTGGCAGGCAAAAGGGATCTTGGACAAGGTCACCTAGAGTACAAATGATGAAAAGACAGTGCAGAAAAGCTGAGCGTATGTGGAGAAAGACGAAACTAGTAGTCCATTATAATATCTATAAAGACAGTCTTCATGCCTTTAATATGGAACTAAACACTGCTAGACAGACTTTCTTTTCAAGTCTTATAAACAGCAACTTAAATAATGCTCGCACACTCTTTGCAACGATAGAGAGACTCACAAACCCCCCCAGTCGGATTCCAAGTGAGCAAATGTAATGAGTTTGCTCATTTCTTCACTGATAAGATCAATAATATCAGAAAGGCAATCAGCTCATCCAATCAGCCAAGTTGTGTCGATATCAAACAAGCTCGACCACAACTTAAGAAATCTGACATTATGTCTGATTTTATGGCAATTAACAGCAAAATCTTAGAAGAAATTGTGCAAGTTATGAAAACATCAACCTGCAGTCTTGACACGCTCCCCACATCATTCTTCAAAACGGTGTTTACCTGTTTAGAAATGGATCTTCTAAAAGTGGTAAATGCTTCACTTCTCTCAGGGATTTTTCCAACCTCACTTAAAACTGCAGTTGTTAAACCCCTCTTGAAGAAGAGCAACCTGGATAACACCCTATTGAGCAATTACAGGCCAATCTCAAATCTCCCTTTCATTGGCAAAATCATTGAAAAAGTTGTTTTTAACCAGGTTAACAAGTTCTTAAACTTCAGGGGGTGTTTAGACAATTTTCAATCTGGTTTCAGAGCACATCACAGTACAGAGAGCGCTCTTATAAAGATAATCAATGATATACACCTAAATACAGATTCAGGTAAAATAACAGTGCTGGTATTGTTGGATCTCAGTGCTGCATTTGACACTGTCGATCACAGCATACTTCTGGATAGGCTGGAAAACTGGGTTGGGCTGTCTGGCACTGTCCTGAAATGGTTTAGATCTTACCTTGAAGGTAGAGGTTACCATGTCAGTATAGGTGACCATAGGTCGAGATGGACACCCATGACATGTGGAGTCCCACAAGGCTCGATTCTGGCACCTCTCCTGTTCAACCTTTACATGCTCCCTCTAAGCCAAATAATGAGAAAGAACCAAATCTCCTACCACAGCTATGCTGATGACACTCAGATCTACCTGGCCTTACTGCCTAATGACTACAGCCCCATTGACACCCTCTGCCAATGCATTGATGAAATGAGCAATTGGATGTGCCAAAACTTTCTTCAGTTAAACAAAGAGAAAACTGAAGTCATTGCGTTTGGGAACAGAGATGAGGTTCTCAAGGTAAATGCGTACCTTGGCACTAAAGGTCAAACGACAAAAAATAAGGTCAAGACTCTTGGTGTGACTCTGGAGTCAGATCTGAGTTTCAACAGTCATGTCAAAGCAGTCAGTAAATCAGCATACTATCATCTCAAAAACATAGCAAGAATCAGATGCTTTGTTTCTAGTGAAGATTTAGAAAAACTTGTTCATGCTTTTATCAGCAGCAGGGTGGATTACTGTAATGGACTCCTCACTGGTCTTCCTAAAAAGACAGTCAGACAGTTGCAGCTCATTCAGAATGCTGCAGCCAGAATTCTAACCAGAACCAGAAAATCAGAGCACATCACGCCTGTCCTCAGGTCTTTACACTGGCTCTCAGTTACATTCAGAATAGATTTTAAAGTATTATTACTGGTCTATAAATCACTAAATGGCCTAGGACCTAAATACATTATAGATATGCTCACTGAATACAAACCTAACAGATCACTCAGATCTTTAGGATCAAATAAACTAGAAGTTCCAAGAGTTCAGTCAAAGCAGGGTGAATCAGCTTTCAGCCACTACAATATATTATATTATACAATAACTTGCCTAATTGCACTAACCTGCCCAGTTAATCTAATTAACCTTGAAAAATATCTAGTAAAATATTATTTACTGTCATCATGGGGGGCTAATAATAATAATAATAATAATAATAATAATAATTCTGACTTCAACTGTATATTTAGCCCTGTTTATCACATAGATTTTTATAGAATTATTGTGGGTCAAACTGATATAAATATACAAAAAATATAAACAAAGTTCTTGTCGACAACATTTAAACGTCAAATATTTCAGGGTAATGCAGGATAATGATGTGAAATAGGGTTTCTGAAGAAAAAGCAGTGGATTTGTGCAGCTAATTAAAAAAAAAAACTTATTATTTAAAACAGTTGGGAAATATACAGTTCAAGTCAGAATTATAAGCCCTCCCTGAGTTATTAGCCCCCCTGTTTATTTTTTTACCTAATTTCTGTTTAACAGATAAGATTTTTTCAGCACATTTCTAATCATAATAGTTTGAATAACTCATCTCCAATAACTGATTTATTTTATCTTTGTCATGTTGACAGTAAACAATATTTTGCTTGATATTTTTCAAGACACTTCTATACAGCTTAAAGTGACATTTAAAGGCTTCACTGGGTTAATTAGGTTAACTAGGCAGGTTAGGGTAATTAGGCATGAGAAACACAAGAAAAATCATTTTTGCAGCATAAAAGTATTTTTTATTATAGTCGATATTTTTTATTTTTAAAAAATCAATGAAAGTATGAAGGTAAAATCTTGTATTGTTGTGATCACCGTCTTCTAGGCTAAAAGATAAGACTATTTTGAAAGGTTTAAAGAACACACAGTGACTGCTAGACAGTTTTGAGGAAAACATGACACAGCGGGGTTAGTTGTAACAGGGTGTTACAATTAAGCCACACACTGTTGGACACCAATTAAACCAACATAATATATATTTTTTATATTTGATTGTAATGTTGAGAACTTTTTAAATAAAAATGTTTTTTAATAGAAATTTTTTTAATAGAAAAAAAGTTATTTAATTGCTAATAATGCAAAGAAATGCATTATAATAATGGATAAATGGAAAAATAATGCAAATAGATTTAAATGTGTTTATCCAATTAAAAACAAAAACAAAATAAAGATACTGTGATGCGTATAATAAAAAAGAAACAAGCCAATTACTGAAGAAACATAGCTACTGTTTAAAGTAAACTGAATTTAAATGAAGTGTGTGAAATCTGCCTTTGTACGCATGTGTTACAACTTACCCCCTGTCTGTTACAACTTGCCCCGCAGGTGGGGTACATAGTAACATTTATACTCCTGGCACATTTGGCAATAATGCACAGAAACCAAAGGTCCGGCAATCATAATTTCAGTGCTCATTTGTAGGAGAGGCTGGTGTGTTATTGGTTTAAAAATATGATTTGTCTAACCCCATTATTTTGTTTATTATTTGACCAAAACCAAAAAGTGTTACTTTGTGCACCGCTCTCCCATACACATAGCAATGACATTTAACTTAATTTTCATCAATTTAGGCTACACAATAGCTATCTGAAAAAAAGGTAACAGTAAATAACATAATATGGTAAAGAATAAATGTATGCAGAATTTTACAGGAAAAAATATAATCGTTCAACAGTTAACTACTGTTAATTATTTTTACATGTTAGCTGTTACATTCAACTTTTCTCACGTATGCCCATAAAAAACCTCTGAAACCTGTATTTAAAAGTAAAGCAACAACTCCCCCTTCTGGATATATAGAGAATCATACTACTGAACTGTCCATATCAGAGATGCCCAAACTATCCCGCGGGCCAAATGTTAATCTTTGATTTGGCCAACCATCCCATCAGAGAAGAGAGGGACAATGACAGGTATTTATTTATATAGATTTATTTTAGATTTTGTTTTATTGTTAAGCTATACAAAAACTGAAAGTAGCCTAAATTTTTCAATTAAATGTTGTCAGTGAATCAGATTTTTTATTTTTATCCTGTCACATGACAGATAAAGGACAATGCACAAGACGTAGCCAACTTGACTAGTGTATACAGCATTGAACTCTATGTTATACCTAAGCAATTCCAGCCAATGGGCCCACAAGTTCTAGAATGCACCTTTTGTAATTTAATTTATTCTTGTTTTTTTCTGTTTTTATTTTTATATCAGGTCTCATCTACATTTTATCTTAATGCAAAATTATAATATGTAAATCATCTTGTGACATCTTGTAAAACATTTGAAGTTATTTGTTTTCTTTAAATGAATTCACAACTTAAAATAATAAATGAAATATTTTGTTTTTAAAGCCAAATACTGATTTGACTGCTGGACTGGTCCATGATTGAGGGTGGGGGGATACATTTGCGCAGGTATAATAATTAAATTAAAAAGTTTAGACCCTCACCATATGAAATACCTTAGAAAACACCATTATTTATCATTTATAGGTATAATTCTAGGTATTTATTTGAGGGCCCTCAGATTTCCTGGGGCCCTAAATGGCTATTTGTTTTTACTGTAATAAATAAGATGTAGCCTAGACAATGCATAAGGTAATACGATTCAACTAATTATTGCTATTTATTTTTAAATATTATGAATTAAATTAGGAAATTACCCGTGGTAATTTTATTGAACAGAGTTTGGTACCTTCTGTCCACAACTCTATCAAGTTAGATTTATGTCTCTTCATAATGAAGTAAATGTTTGGGCACTCTGGTCTATACTAATTTTCACATCTGACAGCAAACCAATCCGTTAAAAAAACAGACGTAAATTTTAAAATACAAGATCAAGATTAGTAGTAACTCACATTTTAATAACTCTGGTAAAGCAGCTACGTTTTTCGGTAATGTGAATGATAATTAAGTGAAACAAATTCTTTTAAAAACTGACCGTTTAAATTAGACTGTATGTGCACCCCTCTAAATCTCCAAATATGGTTTAGCCTATACCACTGTCGACGTGACTTTTGCTCACCATCCAAAATCGAAACTGAAACTTTGAAAGAAGCCATTTTGAAACCCAGCAAAAAAAGAACTGCGTCACATCGTTAAAACACTAAAGTGAGTATAAAACGTATAATTTGTAGTAACGCCAGCACCTCAATAGGATGAACTAACGTTAGTAGTTTAGTGTACGTTTTGGTAAGCTGTGGATTCATAATCGAGCACTAGGTGTAGATCTTGTTCGACGGTTATTCTGTCTTTACGTCCTTTGTGGTAACTCTGCAGTCATACCGGAAATAAACTGTGCTTTGTCCAGTTTAGTACAAGGTTGGAAAATACCCGTTTTTGGGTGCTGGGTAGTTGAGTGTTTGCTAGCCTCCATTTTCACGCAGTTTTTTTTTACTAAAGAGACTTTAAGTTTAAACCCGGAATGTGACGTTTTCAGTTGTCTATTTACAATGTAGACTATATCAAACTATAACATTAATAACTATTTTTACATCAAAATATACTCACTGTAACATAGGAAAATGTTCCAAAACACTACAACATTATTAACAACTAAAAGTCTGTGTACTTTCCGTTTTTATTTAAATTCCAGTCTTCACACACAGCTTTCTTATTAGCCATTGCTGAACTGTGTGCAGCTCTTTATAAATGTGGGTGAGGCTGGAAGACAGAATGACATCACAAATTTGCATAATATTTGGTCGTACCAAGTCAACTCAAGTAGTAGGGTGGACACAAACAGCTAACTAACTTGGATTTTCTGAATGCACATTTGGTGAAACATAATAAACTTTTATAAGTAACTTTAACGTGACTAATTCTGTTATTTAAACTTAATGGCCTTTTTTTTTAGAATTTCATGTATTTCTTAAGTACTCACTTTCAAAGTAGTACACATCTTCAGTTACTGCAGAGTCTGAGTACTAAACTGTGGATCAATGTTGATCAGTGTAATGCTTTGTTTACACATTTACATAACACTTAAAAAAATAAAACAACATATATGACAGATAGTTTAAAATAACACTAATTGTTGTTGTGACTTTGTGTTTAGCTTTGTCAGCAAGCATTTTGGTGAAGGAGGAAGAGATCCACCTGCAGCAGGGGTGTCAAACTCAGTTCCTGGAGGGCCACAGCCCTGCACAGTTTGTTTCCACAGGTGTGTTTAAATTGCGGTTGGAACTAAATTGCCGAGCTGCGGCCCCCCAGGAACTGATTTTGATGCCTGTGACCTACAGTATATGTACTGTAACTACAATATGGACAACACACGGTCATCCCGTGATGAAGATATTTATTCATGCACCAGGTACTCTTATTTAAGGCTTGAAATGGCACATTTTGATGCATAAGTGAACATTTAAAAAAAAGGAGGAGCTCAGTTTAAGTAAAGATGTGCCCATTGCATATTATTTTTAGAATTGTATTGTTATTTTTACAGTACAAATATAAGCTGTTCATATTTTGTTATGTTTTTTGTGATGTTGTGGGTTTTCCATCTATTTACTTTTTTAAAATGCACTACGAGACTTTATTTTCTGGTCAGCACACTTTGAGGTTAAAAAATGTTTCACAAAAGTACTTTTATTGACATTTTAAATTATATATTGTCTGGTTTGGTTAGAAATGGCAGAACTTATTCATTTAAATTACACATTTATTTATGTTATTTCCTAGACAGTATGCTGTTTTTAACCACTAAAAAAGGAAAATGTGTTAAATGTTATGTGGTAACAGTAAGTTATATGCAGAAAACATCCAGAACTTTGAATTATTCAAGAAGGTGACATTACCTAATGTTTTTGCATGTACCTTACTGTTACCATATACTATTTAACACAATTTTCTTGTGTTTTTTGTAGTTTATAACAACATACTGTCTAATAAATAGCGTAATTTTGTAAATTAAGGGGTTAGTAAGATGCAAGTTGTTTGTAACGTATTTTTCCATATTTATGTACAGTATAATAAAGAATTGAAATTAACTGCAAATATGTATGTTATAGGTCTATATGTTATAAATATAAAAGAAACATGGAATAAAACTCATGTGACATATTGGTATTTATGTGAGAACAGCTAGTGCTGATTGTGAAGAACAAGATCTGGGGTTCAAAATAATAGTTTGACGTCTGTTTTTGTCTTCTGAAGTAGAGAATCGGAAGAGGTCTTGTCGAATACGAGTTACTGGTCTCTGCCATCATATTTTCGTCACAGAAAATTTCATCGCAGGTACAGTTTTACAAACATATTTTTTCTCCCTGTATATTTAAACCCTAATATATAATGAAATGTTTATCAGATTGGTTTTAAAAAAGTTTAATGATGGAGGCTAATTTTGTTGCTGATTGTTGTATATTTATGTGCTTATTTTAATTTAATATATTTAATAATGCAATGTGACTTCAGATGAGCAACATTTTTTCCCCTCTTACAGTTCAGTTCATGAGAAAATATCTGACTCATCAGAGTCCAGCCGAGTGTCTTTGAAGAGTGACTGGTCTATGAACCCACCACCACTTTTAGGTGAAGAGAGAAAATCATCAAACTTAAATATGTCTAGCCTAGTGTCTGTGAGGAGTGACTGGTCTATGGATCCACCACCACTTTTAAGGGCTAAAGGAAAATCAGCAGTGTCCAGCGGAGTGTCTGACAACATTGACTGGCTTGTGTGTTCACCTTATTTAAGGGTTGAAAGAAAATCATCTGCTCTCAGGTACAATATTTTATCATTAATATGCAATCAGTTTTATTTAAACATAATAGTAAAAGCTGCAAGCCTTCACCACTGGTTATAATAACACAAACATAAAGCATTATGATCTAATCTATTATGTTTATGTTGTTTCCAAACTAATTATGTTTATGTTTCTTCCAAACTAAAATTTGCATTTTCAACATACTAGAATAAACAGTCTATTGTAGGCCTGCATGATTAATCGATTTTAAATCGTGATTTGAAAAGGTGCAATTTTCACATCGGAAAAGTTGCAATTATTTTGATTATTACTCTGGCAAGGGAGGCGAGCGTGAGAAATAAAACGCTCCAACTAACGTTACTTAAAAGCAGACAACTGTTATTGAAGAAGTCACAAGTCCCTATATCACTGCTATGGATAGAATTAAAAACTGTAAACTCCATTTCTGCTCTCTCTCTCTCTCTCTCTCTCTCTCTCTCTCTCTCTCTCTCTCTCTCTCTCTGTTGTGTTTGTGTGTGTGTGTGTGTGTTTGTGTGTGTGTGTGGACCTGCTTGCATGAGTTAATGTTTCGTCTCCTCTCTCGGCTGTTACAGCGATTCTTGTGGATCCGGACACATACATGTAAGCGTGTTACTCTGCACACGAGTTTTCTCCACCGTATCTATCATGGTTCAGCTGTGATAACTGTCCATTATAGACTGTACCTGCATATATGCGAAACTTGTCGGTGAATAACGCTGAACATTATAGCCAATCGCAGCCCTTTCTGTTGAGTGCGAAAACTGACAAATGACAAATCACAGGTGTTTAAAAAGTCAACGCTCAAAAAGCAAGCAGGATAATATTTGCATTTATTAATTTGCTTTAAAGGGCACCTATGATGAAAATCCTATTTTTTAAGCTGTTTGGACAGAACTGTGTGTAGGTATAGTGTGTCCACAGTCATATTTGAGGGATAGAAAGACAATAAGTCTCTTTCGTTAAATTTCCTGACGTTAAAATAGGATCCAAATCCCTTCCATTTTGAGCAGCTTATTAACTTGTCTCTGTAGTAATGCATATAATCATATCAACAAAACAGGACGTGCGCAAGTAAACGAGATCAAAAGATCTGTTCAGCTCTCTGTGATCATTAATCATCATCAAATGAGTTCAAGAATGAGTTTTACAAGTTTAAAACGTTTCTAAAACAGTGCATATTTGGAATTAATTACAGCGATTTTACAATCTTTACTTCATCACCACAGCCACATGTCAGTACAATTATAAAAGAAGACGCTTTAGTTTTGAGCTGAAACTTTACCAACACATTCTGGAGACACAAAAGACTTATCTTAAATGTTGAAAAAGAGGTAAAATAAGTGCCCTTTAAATGCTCATGTTCCTTTGTGCATGTACAGTGCATCCAGAAAGTATTCATAGCGCTTCACTTTTTGCACATGTTTTTATGTTACAGCCTTATTCCAAAATGGATTAAATTAATTTTTTCCTCAAAATTCTACACACAGTATTCCATAATAACAATGTGAAAAATAGAGATGGGTACCGAAACTCGAAACTTTATCGGTATCGGTGCTAAATTATAAAAGAGCAAAGTATCAATAAGCTCTGACATTAACGGTTCTGTTATCGGTACTGGAGAATTATTGCTAAATAAACATTGCTTACAGGAGCATAATTTAATTGACCAACCTTTTCTAATTTGCAATATTTGATATTCGTCTGCACAGCTGGCAATCTCACATGCGAAATGATCGTGTTTTCACCTAATAGTTCAAGCGCGTCAAGTATAAAAGCCTTCGCAGTTCTTGGCTGTGCACATGCACTCAGAGGAGGCTCGTGCTAAAGCTGTATTTATACTTTCGCCCGACGCCACATCACGCACCTCCGCTGACTGCATGCACACCTCGCGAAACGGACGAGGCTTTTACACTTGCTGCATTTGACGTTGTGATATTCTTTAAAATGACAGGGGACAGTCAAAAGAAACGGACCGAAAGTCAGACGGATAAACAAAAAAGTAGGACGTTTCCGGAACTACGTCATATCATTAATATCGTTCAATATTTTTAAACAAATTATTTTTGTTTTTATTAATTATTTTAATGATTATAAAGATTTTTAAAACCATTCAGTTTTTTTTTTAATCAAACTTTGATGCATCACTTGCTTTTGTTCATATCTCGGACAGTTTTACCTATTAAAATTTATTAAATATTAGTGACAACAGAACATGAGCTGCTCTACAAATATATATATATTTTTTATTATGGCAAGAATAAAAGCAAAAAAAAACACACTAAAAAAATACAGATTTTTAAAAAGATTTTTACATGTGGGACAGTGTGATCAGATAATGCTTTCACATTTGGCTCAATTGCCTCGTTAACGCCTGAGTTTGATTACCCCATTGAGAAAGGCCTCCTGTCCCTGCCTGAGCTGTTTCTTACTGTAAGACAACAGTCCTAGCCATTGTATCACCCCTTTTAGATTGTGGAATGTTGAGCACAGAGACATATTTGTTTTTCAATGGTCTGGAAAAAAAGTAAAACATTTTAACCTTTGCTCCAGTGAAGACCGAATAAAGAGGTCCTGTTTGCTGTGAAAATTACAGTATGTGGATGGCATATTTTCAACAAACTTTTCTAAAGCTGCTATTTGTGGCCCCAGGTGTGTAAACTGAAAGGTTTGCGATGTCACTAACCCAGAATTATTTTATCGTAGTCCTCAGCGAGCCATTTACTGTTGCCTTTGCATTAGTGATTCTTTTAAAAAAAAAACTCTCTTTTTTGGAATCTTACTTCGAGTGTCAGATGTTTTTTATGCTCCCACAACTACAATACACATTGACTAAAGTTTTCTTAAAATAATAACTTTATAAAAATATGTAAAAATGTATAATTAAATTTATTTATTCATTTTATTTATTCATTTATTAATTAATAATTTATTCATATGTGCAAATGCCCTGCACAGTGGCCAGTGGGATTTTGAGCCATTCTTCTTGCAGTATAGTGGCCAGGTCACTATGTGATTCTGGTGATGGAAAACGTTTTCTGACTCGTTCCTCTAAAACACCCTGAAGTGGCTCAATACTATTTAGGTCAGGTGACTGTGCAGGCCATGTCTTGTTCCTCAACCCCAATGCTGATCCCTCCTTATGCTTCAGTCTGCTTCTTTGGGGCATCTCCACACCGTAACTCTCTCAGATGTGGGAAAGACAGTGAAGGTGGACTCAGAGAACAACACATGATTCACATTGCTCACACCACTGAAACCAACATTTGGCATTGGCATGAGTGACCATAGGTTTGACTATAGCAGCCCGGCCATGTACAGTACACGGCCGGTGTACAGACCCTGTCAAGCTTTGACAAACAGTTTTGGTAGAAACAGGAGAACTAAGTTCCACATTTAATTCTCCAATGAGTTGATGCAGCTCTGCTTTTAAGTTTTTTGGAAACAATTGGGTTAGAACCTGGACATTCCTTTCAGACAACTTAATTTTAATGTGCATCCACAGTTATTCCTGTTGGATGTGGTTCGTTCTTTTTTGTGCTATGCTGGCAGTACCCTGGGTACAGTGGCTCTTGCCAGCGAGATGTGCACCAACAATTGTCCTCTTTTGAACTCTGATATGTCACCCATATTGTTGTGTGCATTGCAATATTTTTAGGAAAACTGTGCTACTACTCTGCTAATTATACCCTCACACTCCGCTCTTACTGGTAGAATCTGCAATTAATAAAGATTGGCCTGGTGTAAATTGGCGAGTGTTTTAGTTTCATTGTCCAACCCCTATTTAAATAAACAACATAAGGAATGCTGCAAACATTATTGCACATTTTGAGAAAAAAATTAAATTCTCACAAATTCCTGAAAGAACTGTAAAAATTGTTGTCTAAATTCCTACAAAAGTAGCTGTATAATTGTGCATGTATGTGCGTGTGCGTGTGCGTGTGTGTGTGTGTGTGTGTGTAAAATAAGTAAGGGCTGTTTCAAAAGCTTTGCCAAGCTTGAATTGTAATAATGATTCATTTTAATTTTACAGACATAAATTGAGTCTGCTCAAGAAGTTTCAGTGTCTGTATGAGGGTACAGCGGTTCAGGGTAAACCAACACTCCTGAATGAGATCTACACAGAGCTCTACATCACAGAGAGTGAGAGTGGAGAGATCAGTCATGAGCATGAGGTGAGACAGATTGAGACACAATCCAGGAGATCAACAACAGAGGACACAGCGATCAAATGCAGAGACATCTTTACACCTTTACCTGGACAAGACAAAGCCATCAGAACTGTGCTGACGAAGGGAGTCGCTGGCATTGGAAAAACAGTCTCTGTGCAGAAGTTCATCCTGGACTGGGCTGAAGAGAAGGAGAATCAGGACGTCCAGCTCATATTTCCACTTCCTTTCAGAGAGATCAATCTGATAAAGGACAAAAAGTTCAGTTTAGTTAGTCTTCTTCAGACCTTCTTTACGAGAGAGATACATTTAGATATGATTCAAAACTCTGCTGTCATCTTCATCTTTGATGGACTGGATGAGTGTCGTCTTCCTTTCAACTTTAGCCGCAATGAGATCCTATTGGATGTGACCAAAGAGACATCAGTGGACGTGCTGCTGACGAACCTGATTGTGGGGAATCTGCTTCCCTATGCCCTCATCTGGATCACCTCCAGACCAGCAGCAGCAGATCTCGTCCCCTCTGAGTGTGTCCATCGAGTGACAGAGGTACGAGGCTTCAATGACCCTCAGAAGGAGGAATACTTCAGCAAGAGAATCAGTGATCAGAGTCTGGCCAATACAATCATCTCACACCTGAAGTCCTCCAGGAGCCTCTACATCATGTGCCACATCCCAGTGTTCTGCTGGATCTCAGCCACTGTTCTGGAGAAGATGTTGAGTGAAGCAGAGACTGCAGAGATCCCCAAGACTCTCACTCAGATGTACACACACTTCCTGATTTTGCAGACTAACATTAAACATCAAAAGGACTATGAGGAGAAGCTGACAGATGAAGACATGATCCTCAGACTAGGGAAACTAGCTTTTCAGCAGCTCATGAAAGGCAATATAATCTTCTATGAGGAAGACCTGAGAGAGTGTGGCATTGATGTGGCAGAAGCTTCAGTTTACTCAGGATTGTGCACTCAGATCTTCAGAGAGGAGTTTGGCTTGTATCAAGGGAAAGTCTTCAGCTTTGTTCATTTGAGCATTCAGGAACATCTAGCAGCTCTATATGTGCACCTCTTATTCACAAACCACAACATAAATGTGTTTGAGCAAATGACAAAGTCATTTGAAGGCACACCTTTGAATAAATCTGACCTGCAATCGTTAACTTTGAATATGGAATTGTTTGAGATAAGTGAACCAGTCTTGACAGATGTGGCTGCAATGTGTGAAATGGACTGGAGAGTTGTGAATGAAATATCTGCACTGCATTGTAAAGCTGTGGATGAGGTTTTACAGAATAAAAATGGACACTTGGATCTTTTCCTGCGGTTTCTTCTGGGTCTGTCAGTAGAGTGTAATCAGATTCTCCTACAAAGGCTAACGAAACAGAGAAGACACCTTTACAACGATAATAAAACAGTTGAATACATCAAGAAGAAGATCAGAACCATTAACTCTCCAGAGAAATCCATCAGCCTGTTTCACTGTCTGAATGAACTGGGTGATCATTCACTAGTGGAGGAAATACAGCAGTACCTGACATCTGGAAAAATAAAAGAGTTCAAACTCTCTTCCTCTCAGTGGTCAGCTGTAGCTTTTGTTTTGTTGACCTCAGAGAAGAAGCTGGAGGAGTTCTGGCTGAAAGAGTTTGTTGGAGCAGAAACTAAAGCTGATCATGTTCTTCAGAAGCTACTGCCTGTGGTTAAAGAATCTAGAAAAGCTGAGTAAGTGTCTCAGAGAGCAATAACTAGATAATTAAATATTTAAACAAATTAAATATTATTTTCACATATAATATCACTAATATGGATAGTAGGGCCACTGCATTAATCCATTTCTTCTAGTAAACTGCATATTAACGTTGTAGAATGTATGACATTTTTCTAAATAAAAAACTAACCTGCACAAGTCCTAAATAGATAAGACATTTAGCAACATTTTGTTTCTGCTTTTTATTAAAGTGCTTTCTTTTTACTTGCTCTTTTACTTTCCTCTCCTCCTGGGTGCTTTTTCTTCATTCTTGCATGTTTAATCACTTTAGCGGAAGCACATAGAGGAGGTAAATCAAATGCAGCGTTCTTGTTGGCATTGTGACTTTACTACTGCTGTGTCTCCTGTCCACTGCATTTGAGTCTCAGCACTGTCACGTTAGCTTTCTCAAGTATTTTGCTTCTAGTACCACTGCAGGGTTTCTGCAATATTCCTTCTTCCATGGTGGGGCGCCACACCAAAATTCATCAAAATTCACCAAAATTTATTCACGGCTACATTACAGCTTCTCATTCAAAACATTCAGTTGTTGTTGTTTTTTTAATACCGGGTTATAATCACACCAAAACGTATTGAAAGGTAAGTGAATTATAACAGCGCAAACTTTTCTGTAATCATAGTAGTGCTGTGCGTTATTTGTTTAACCTATTAGGGTGACATGCTGACTGACTGACAGGTGCGTGATGCGTGAGGCTAGCTGAACACAATTTCCTTAATTATACTTTATAGATAAAGGTCTGTGGCTCTGCATACATTGAGTTTATCTTGCTGGAGTTTATGCCGGTTTCCACTTGGTAGGTCTATTGGAGACATTCATAAATATTTCTAGCAAATCTAATAAATGTTGGAGACATACTTGTTACGTAAACACACTTAATCGCAAGTAAGTCAAGAAAATCGGAACTTGAGCATTGTATATTTGAGGGGACGTTTGAAAACAGAAGGAATCGGCCGCAAGCAAAGAGATTCGCATGCTCGTATAACATGAATGCAATCTCGAATACTGCGGTCACAACATTTGTCATTAAGTTAATACCATAGGCAGATCTGTGTAAAAGGCCTGCCACCACAGCTGGAAAAAATCCTAGAGGGAACAGTGCTCTGAAATAATTTTAGAGACATTAGTTGAAACTTAAATAGTGCTGCTTTTTAAAACTAGCCATACGATTTTAAAGACTGCTTGTAACTTTTTTAATTTAGTTACCAAAAGGTTGATCGGGACAACTTTAAAAATTAAGACTGATTGCCCCTAGGTCTGGAGTGATAAACAATATTTTATCGAATTGCAATAAAATGTATGTGATTAGCAATGATAAGCTCTGGACTTTTTTACTCTATATTGATCTAAGAGCCAATCACACAGCAGAAATGTGCAACAATGGGAATCTAAAAATGTGTTGATGTTATTATATTATAGTTTTGGCTGCCAAAAAATTATCAACCACCGAAAATAGGTTATGCTATTTTAAGGGCCCTCTGATTTGTGACTTCAGTCATTGTTGGGATACTCTTCTAAATCTGAAAGGAATAACAACTGATATAGAAATGTACTATACATCATTATTGTTCCACATAAAAAATTCCATTTGCCATATCGTTCAGCCCTAATTACTCCTCGTTTAACTGTTAGCTAGTGAAATAAATACTATGACCAAGTCTTAACATAGTGGCTTTTTGTTTATGCAACAGGTTAAGCAAGTGTGGTCTCACAGAGGAATGTTGTGCTGCTTTGGCTTCAGCTCTGAGATCAAAGCTCTCACATGTGAGAGAACTGGATCTGTCTGGAAATAAACTAGGTGATTCCGGTATAGAGAATCTCTCTACTGGACTTGAAAATCTTCACTGTAAGCTGGAGATACTCAGGTGAGAATTTTACATGATCTAGTGCAATGTCTGGTAGACAGATGTTCCTTTTTGATTCCCCTATCCGCATTTATTGCTTACCTTTTTCTAGACCTCTATAGATTGAATCTGCAATTTTTTTGTGTATTGTCTCTTAAATAATGTATTTTCCTTTTAATATCCCAACTCAATGCAAGTTGTAGATTTAGATTCAAATAATAAAAAATGGGATCATTACTTAAAATACTTATAATATCAATCTCAAATGTTAATGAGAAAACTTAATATAAACACTTTAATTTTAATAATAATAAATGCTTACAGTCTGATGGGGGGATTGTTTAGTGTTTACATTCTGCCAAAGACACTTGTATTTGATACCACCTTCCCACAACCATTAAACTTAATCTGATACAGAGATGTTTGTCCTTGTTTACTACAGGTTGAGAAGTTGTGGAATCACAGCTAAAGGTTGTACTGCTTTGGCTTCAGCTCTGAGATCAAACCCTGAACAGATCAGACAACTGGATTTGTCAGAAAACAATATTCGAGATTGGGGAGTCAAGCATCTTTTTACTGAACTCAAGAATCCTGACTGTAAATTGGAGATACTGGGGTAAGACTATCTGATATTCTAACACGGCTGGATTTTAATAGGCTTTTGTTGTGAACATTTGACAAAGTATAATCACTAAAGACGTTATTGTTGAGATATACTTCCTAGTGTAAAATTTGAATTATAAAAGGACATAAGGGCTATGTATCAATTAAGATTCTGATTCATTTTGGTTTGATTCAATTCTTGATTCAATTCTCAATTCTGGATTAGATTCAGTGATTTCATACATACATTGCTGATATTTCTATAAAGTGATTAATGAACTTATTTGCCAAAGGACAAAAGACCTGTATATTACAATTTATTTTACTGTCTGATACATAGGGATGCATTAAAAGAGAACCCATTTTTGGTTTTAATTTGACCACAATATGGAAGTATTGTAAAAAGTAAAGCTTTTGAGAATCAATATCAAAGTTAACCATTTTTTTTAAATATATTGATTGATTTTAAGTATCCCAGCCTTAAAAAAAGGATGAAATATTAAAATTCCAACTAAAATACACATAGCAGGATCAATTAGAACAAATATAATATACTGTAAAAGCACCAAGTTAGCTAAGTGCTATTTTAATAGTCGTACATTTTTATTTTAGTCTTAATATTTTAACCCATATAATGGGTACTTGAAGCAATATTACTTGATTATATTTCCAGTGTCCAGTTGTCCTCAACATTGTGTCATTGTTTTCCACAGGTTAAGGAATTGTGGAATCACAATTGAAGGTTGTGCCGCTTTGACTTCAGCTCTCATAATAAACCCTTCACATCTGAGAGAGCTGGATATCAGTAGGAATAGTCTTGGAGACACAGGACAAGAACTGCTCACCTCTCTTTTGAACTCTCAACATCATAAACTAGAGATACTACTGTAAGTACTAGTAATCATTTTAAATAAATAACCTTGTTTCATATTTAATTACACAATGCTAAGGAAAAGGTGAAACCTTTGTAGGCATATGGTTTTCTGCATTAATTAATCATAAAATGTCATCTGACCTTTACTAAAGTCAGAATTATAAAAAAAACAGGTTGTTATAACAGGGCTCACACTACTGGAGTTTTAGACCAGTTTGTGACCAGTAAACAACCTTGTCCAGAGCCTCTTTTCTGTTATGATATTTAAATTATTTGGTAATGTGAGGCCTTCACAGGATGAATAATAAACCATCCTGTGTAGAATGTAGCATTGTTTATGCAATATTATAGTCTTATGCACATGTCTGGTGTGATAATCAAATAATAATGATAATAATGTTTAATTTACAGAACTTTCCCAAAGCTTAAAACATTTAAAATACAGAAAAAAAGGACCAGACAAATGCACTAGGGCTGACAATGTGGCTGAAAACCTTAATTCGAATTAAAATACACAGTGCAATTGACCAGCTAAAAGTCCAGCGCAGAGCGCATTAGTTGTGCACCTCAAATGCATACACATTGGTTAATACACACAGGATGTATAGCAATACACAAATATCTTTACAAATAAAAAAATAATTAAAGTTTTAAAAGGATTAAAATATTACAAAAAATATTTTCTACATGAATATAAAAACCACTGCCTGCATGCCTTCTATGTCGGGGTGGGCTTTTTCAGTTTATTCATGACGATCTGCATTTGTATAATGTTGTTATGATTATTATCTGTATTATTTATTATATGCATATTTATATTCGTTTTAATAAAAACAAGTTTAGATTTGTCCACCTGTTGAGTTTTGGAGACGTCTGCATCACCATATGGGGCATAAGTATGACGTGTGTTTGGATATAACTCACTTCGTTTTTTTGAACTCACTTCGTTATTATTGTTCATTTATTTGTTTGCTGGAAATAAAAACTGAACTTAGAAATAGTGTTAAAACAAATCTTTGCGCTTAACAAACAAAATTAAATATGTAGGCTAATGGATGTCTTCAGTGGAGTGAGTACAACACCGTTTCCTTATCTACAAACGTAGAGAGTAAAGCATAAAAGTAAAAAGAAAAGAGGCCAAATGGAGGAGGCTCGTTCTTTATCTTCTTGCTGCAGATGCTCCGTTTAACTGTTTTCTTGCTAGTGAAGCGTTCAGTTTGTCCACTTACAAATTCCACCATTTAAATAGCAAATGTGCCATAGTGTGAAGCAACTGACTTTTAAAGGGAATGGGAAATAAGATGGCACGTTATGCTCAAAAAACACTAATATCTCATTAAGAGAATAACCACAACCCTGTTTGATCATGCGCCATGGTGCAGAGCATATTTTTCCGGCTTTAAAATAGCAAAAGTGGATTTGGACACGCCCTTAATACTTTTGCCTATGCATTTTGGACTTTGTGCCAAAATCATTAAAATAGAGTCCTTAGTGTTACAGGAAAAGTATTGTATTGTCTGCTACGCACACAAGAGGGCACACATGAGCACAATCTGCAAAAACACAACAAAAAAGCCTAAGCAGCCAAATGTGTGCAGGGTATTTAGAATTTTTGACACTAGAAGTCATTCTTTGAATCAGTCTAAACATTTTAACTGGGATGATTCATGCTTTTTAAGTCTCATCGTGTGTAAATGTTTGAGATTTGAGATGTGATGCAACCAGATTTCATAATCAGTTGAGATTCCTGTAGAGTTGGCCCACCTTAACTACAGTAACAACACACAACTTTTTTAAACACTTCCTTAAACATTCACAGTAGTGATGGGAAGTTCGGATCATTTTACTGATTTGGATCTTTGAGTCTCGTTCATTAAGATGAACAAATCTTTTTTCGAGTCATTTCGTTCATTTAGTTCAATTTGCCAAAATATTATTAAAATGTTATGAATTGCCTCCAAACACATCTACAACTAGCCCAAAAGGTTAATCACACGGCAATACATCATCAATAGAATACTATTAGAAGGAGAAAATAATCATTCAATGTTTACCTGCTCTTTTGGCTATGAAGGTATTGTTGTCTCTTTGCTCAGCTCACCTCTTCATGTCTTCAAATGTCAGTGGTTCGTTCACATTACACTGACAGTCACATATAATCTTAACCAATGTACAGTCTGAGTCGATAGGAGCCATGATAATTAGTTCACCTTTCAATTCAATTCTTTTTCCGGCTCTAAATGCATATGATTGGCCTGTGATGAACGAATGACTCAGACCTGATAGAGGACTCGAGAGATGAACGGTTCAATTCTTTTTTTTTTAGCTCTAAATGCATATGATTGGCCCGTGAGGAACAAATGACTCAGACCCGATAGAGCACTCGAGAGATGAACGATTCAATTCTTTTTCCGGCTCTAAATGCATATAATTGGCTTCTGCCGTTCTGCGATGAACGACTCAAAAGACTTGAAATGAACGACATCACCTGCACAAATGTGCACACGCGCGGATGAACAAATCACTCCCAGAGAGGACTCGTAGTTCCCGAGTCATATTCAAGATTCATTCTAAATGAACGAATCGTTCATGAACGACCCATCACTAATAGACAGTACTAAAAGTTGATTGTATTGTAAATAATTGATTGTAATACACTTATTATACTATATCATACATTATTAGTCAGACTGATTCTTAGTACTGAGAATCACTCTTTTAAAATGGAGTGAACTGATTTGGCTTGCTTCAGGCATGATTTTTGGTTTTATTCTGGAAATTTCAATTTAGTACATTAATAAATTTCAGGTCATACAGTTTTCCTTTCTTATTTTACATTTACATTTACATTTAGCCATTTAGCAGATGCTTTTATCCAAAGCGACTTACAAATGAGGAAAAGGAAGCAACTTACAAAACTATAAGAGCAACAATGAATAAGTGCAATAGGCAAGTTTCAGGTCTGTAAAGTCTAAAAAGGAAAGTATTAGTACTTTTTTTTTTTTTGGTACAGTTAGTGTGATATTCAGAGAGGCAATTGCAGATTAGGAAGTGAAGTGGAGAGTAAACAGTTGAGTTTTTTTATTCATTTCTTGTAAATAGTGAGTGACTCTGCTGTTCTGATGCAGTTAGGGAGTTCATTCCACCAACTGGCCAGACTGAGCGTGAGCGAAAGTGATTTCTTCCCTCTTTGGGATGGAACCACGAGGCGACGTTCATTCACAGAACGCAAGTTTCTGGAGGGCACATAGATCTGCAGAAGTGAGAGCAGATAAGGAGCAAGGCCAGAAGTTGCTTTGTAGGCAAACATCAGAGCTTTGAATTTGATGCGAGCAGCAACTGGCAGCCAGTGCAAACGGACTAGCAGCGGAGTGACATGTGCTCGTTTAGGTTCATTGAAGACCACTCGTGCTGCTGCGTTCTGGAGCAGCTGAAGAGGCTTGGTAGAGTTAGCTGGAAGCCCCGCTAAACATATTTTATGTTTGAGACTTTGCTATTTTTAAGTAACTGACTGTCTGTGTGTTTTATTTTAGGCTTCACAAGTTTCCAATGACATTCACGTCTCTGCCCAGCTCCCACTCTCCAGAAATGTTTCCACAGAGATTCCGGACCCACAATCTAAAGGAATGATTTTTTACACATGCTAAACTATGCGTATAATGCAGCTAATGCTATTTGTTTTCATCAACAGTTAGTGCGTCTTATCTGCACGCAGCCTGATTTTTCTACTAGAATCCCTTCTATTTAACACTAAAAGAGAAGTGGCTACCCACAAGGCAGGCGCTGTGGGTCATGCTGATCTCTCGACGCAGAAGTATAAATCAGCCTTGAGTGTGAAAGGAAAGACATTACCAAAGGCAATGTTAGCGATGAGCAGTAAACGTTAGCAAAGAGCATGTAGACATTTACGCAGTGATTATTAACAATATTATTAGACATTAATAAAGAACATGAAGGTGGCACAGCGGGTAGTGCTGTCGCCTCACAGCAAGAAGGTCGCTGGTTTGAACCTCGGCTCGGTCAGCTGGCATTTTTGTGTGGAGTTTGCATGTTCTCCCCGTGTTGGCGTGGGTTTCCTCCGGGTGCTCCGGTTTCCCCCACAGTCCAAACACATGCGCTATAGGTGAATTGGGTAGGCTAAATTGTCCGTCGAGTATGTGTGTGAATGAGAGTGAATGGTTATTCCCAGTGACTGGTTGCGGCTGGAAGGGCATCCACTGTGTAAAACATATGCTGGATAAGTTGGCGGTTCATTCTACTGGGGCAACCCCTGGTTAATAAAGGGACCAAGCCAAAAAAGAAATTGAATGAATGAATAAACAACATGTACAGTAGATAATAACAAAGAGCGAACAGAAAGACGTTAGCAAAAATCATGCAAGGCAAGATGTTAGCAAAAGAGGGTGCAGAAAAAGAGCATGCGTATAAGGCAAGGAGGAGTGCTGTAGCAGGGGATAGGTATAAGGAGATAGGATTAGAGGTATAAGAAGGACAGTACAATAGTGTTTGCTCATTCTTCCCAAATGTTTCTGAATGGTTTCATGTACTCATGTACAACTTGTAAATAGCCATTTATTTGTACACTACATAGTAAGAACACTGCACTGTAGAACTCTAGGTCTAATAGAAATAGGATGTTTAAAATTAAAAGCATTTCCACAATCACAATGCAAAGGGAACTCAAGAGATTAGGACTCAACAGCTGTGTAGCCTCAAGAAAAACACTTGTCAGAGGCTAATTGAACAAACAATTCGCTAGGGAGTATAAAGATTGGACATGGAGCAATGGATGAAGGTCATGCGAGTCAAGATTTACCATGTTCTAGAGTGAGGGGCACATCAGGGTAAGAGGAAAGTAGCCTTCCATTAAAGTTCTGGAGCAGTGCTATGAGTTCAAGGCTCAGCAGCATTATGTGCTCAACACGAGGTCAGCTGACAACCTGAATATAATAAATGACCAGCTTATTCCATCAATGGATTTTTTTTCCTCCCTGATGGCACGGATGATGATGACGATGCCAATGATTCATCGTGTGCAAATTGTGAACAAGATTTTTTTACATGGATTGGCCACCACAGAGTCCAGACTTAACCCTTTTGAGAATCTTTGGGTTGTGCTGGTGAAGACTCGGCCATCATCCAAACAAGATCTTTGTGGGAAAAAAAGACATTTGTTTTACTGCTCTATTTCAAGTTTAAAGGCTTCTTTATTTTCCAAACATTTCAAACACTCTCCTGTGCAGGATCATGCAGCATAAGAAACAGAACAGAGACTAAATAAAGTGATGGCACATCATTTTGTTTTTGTGTATCCCATATGTACAGTATATACACTGAATATATGTGAATTGTTATGACGGAAATAATTACATATGTTTAGTATATTTAATGATAATAGCTATACAGTGTGTGAAATACTATAAACTAACTTGTGTACATGTTAATCTTTCCAACTTTATTGTATGAAATGATCTGCTGTATAAAAGTAATTGTTGGTTCATTCCACTGTGATAAATCAGGGACTAAGCTAAAGTATAGCAAGTGAGTTGTTTGAAATTAAATGTACCTTGCTCTTATACAGGCACACAGTGACATTGTTGTCTTTTAAGAGCTGCATGTACAGTCAAACCAAAACTTATTTAGACACCACATCTATGAGCATGCAGGATAATATTAAGCTGCTGCAGTGAGTTTGGGAAAATACTGATGTCCAGAGTTCCATGAAACTGGTTAAGTCTACAGGCTGATATTTCAGCTAAGTGTAGCCAAATAAAGTTTTGTGTAAAAAGCCATAAGATCTGTCGGCGCCAGTGGTGTAGTGGTTAGTGCGTTAACTCGTGCACTCTGTTGCTCGCGGCGACCCGGGTTCGATTCCGCCCTGCAGTCCTATACCGATCCTTCCCCTATCTCTGCTTTCCTGTCAATTCTCTCTACTGTCCTATCAAAAATAAAGTTGAAAACCCTGAAAAAATAATTATAAAAATATATATACTTGTGTTATTATTGGTTGATTTTAATACATTGCAGATGTGTCCTTTTTATCAAAGTTATCTGACATTACTGTATCAAGATGAATTGGTCCTGATACCGTTTAATTGCAAAGAGCTGGAGTTCTTATCGTATTTTATTATCATATTTAAACTAAAGAGAATAAACTGTGATAATTACCACAGTACTGTATCTCTCAAATTGTTCAGGCATTTGTTCTTTCTTATCTAGATTACTGTCCAGTGGTATGGTCAAGTGCATCAAGTAAAGACTTATTTAAAGATAAATTACAGTTAGTCCAGAATAGAGCGGCATGACTAATTTTACACTGCAATGGAAGAGCTTATATGAAAATGCATAGGTTGGTTATTGGTGAAGGATAGGGTAATTGTTTTTCTGCTGTGTCATAAGAAATATTACTGTGTCAAGAATTCCATATTACTGTCAACTTTTGTATAGTAATGCTAGGTATCATTTTAACACCAGGCAAGCATCAAAAGGACATTTTTGCTTCCCATTTCAAAAACTAATACAAAGCAACATACTGTAATGTATAGAGGAATGAAAATATGGAATGAATTGCCATTAGACATTAAATGCTTTGTAACAAGTAAAATGAGGTTTAAAGAATTGTTTAAGAAATATTTAATGGCCCAATATTAAGTGGATTGTTTATCTGGGTGTTATATATGAATTTAGTATTTTTATGTTTTTATTGGTCTTGTTGTTATGTAATTTTGTTATGTGTTCGATGGACCCCAGGATGAAAGCCACTACCTTGCTAGTGGCTAATGGGGGTCCTGATGAATAAATAAATAATTTGAGAAAAGGATCATGTTTGGTTTGTTAATTAATGAAGTCTTTTATAAATATCTGTATTGTTTAAATCACTATACTGTATAATGATGGCTTTACACACAACCTTGCACCCTTCACGACTCCAACATCTTCTTTAAAAATAAAAATAATCTTTACAATTATTTTTTGTCACATATACATTGACAACATGTTCAAAAACAACTTTATTAAATGTATTTTTAGTATGAATATCAACATTTAATGTACTTTGACCAATAGTAATCAATGTAAATATTGACACAAAATACCTTAAAATTGTGAATATCATCATCAACATGTTCTTCTTGCTGAAAGGGATAGTTCGCCCAAACGTGTTAATTTACTCACCCTCAAATGGTTATAAGCCCTTATGGGGGTTTTCTTTCACAAAAGAAGATCAAGCTGAAAATCTGTAACCATTGACTTACTGTACATAGTAGGAAAAACAATGAAAGTGAATGGTGTTTCCAGCTTTTACTTTCACTTTACAGCTTTTGTGTTTAAAAGAATAAATATCATTAAACAGGTTTTGTACATGTGTGTAAATAAATTTAACTTTTGGGGGAACCTACCCTTTAACCTCACTGAAGCTAAAATGATTTGACCCTGTTTGGTTCTGATGAAGTGAGTTTGTCATGTAGACATTTCTTTCATTTTCATACACTCCAATGTATTTCATATTCATAGAGATGATTATTGCAGTTTTGAGTACTTTCCTAGGAACTGAAAATGGAGGGGTTATCCCAGTGTGTTTGATGATATTTACCAGCAGAGGGCCACAGAAGCACTGGGAATATGAGGCCAAGAAATACATCTGAAGGTGAGATATCCTATTTTATATATTTGGAGAAAGAGAGAAAAAGTTGAAGTCAGATTTATTAGCCTCCCTGAATTATTCACCCCCCTGTTTATTTTTTCCCCAATTTCTGTTTAACGGAGAGAAGATTTCTTCAACACATTTCTAAACATAATTTAATAACTTATTTATTGACAGTAAATGATGACAGTAAATAATATTTGACTAGATATTTTTCAAGACACTTTTATACAGCTTACAGGTACATTTAAAGGTTAATAAGGTGAACTAGGCAAGTTGGGGTAATTAGGCAAGTTATTGTAAAATGATGGTTTGTTCCGTAAAATGGTTCATAAAAAATTAAAAACTGCTTTTATTCTAGCCAAAATAAAACGAGTAAGACTTTCTCCAGAAGAAAAAATATTATCAGACATACAGTGAAAATTTCCTTGCTCTGGAAACATAATTTGGGAAATATTTAAAAAAGAAAAAAAATCAAAGGGGGGGTTAATAATTCTGACTTCAACTGTATATATATATATATATATATATATATATATATATATATATATATATATATATATATATATATATATATATATATATATATAAGCAAAATGTTTTTGATAACTCTGCATTTACAGGACTATGGAGCTTTCAAGTTTGAAGCTTTAAAATTGCCTTTTCAGTGCAGCTTTATGTACAGTGCTCAGCATATACTATACGAGTACACCCCTCACAAATCTCTCATTTAAATCATTATTTTCTATAGGATGCTCTACAATATAGTATTTGTGCATATACATAGGTTAGTCACATGTTTTGCATGAATTTAGATGTGTTATCTTTTTATTTGCAAAGCTGTTCAGTGACTAAAATATTATTTTAATAAATCTGTTTGATACATCAGTTTTATTCAAATGCACCAAAATCTATTAAAATCTACTTATTTATGATGAGCACTGGAGCCTATCTAAAAATGTATTTAATGTTATAGCAATGAATTCATGTATGCAGGCTGATTCATATGGTGAAAAATATAATAATTTAACAGATTTGTACTGTTTATATTTATATAATTATATTGTTACTGTTACATTAAATGTTTTCACTTGTGTCTGATAAAAAAAATTTTAAACTACTTTTTAAAAATAACAAGTAATAAAAAATATTATGGTAAGGAACATTTTATTAATAGCAATAATTCATGTGATTTGGTACATCAAATAACTATTTTTTTAAGTTAGCCTAAAATTGAAATAAAGCCTCATTAAAATATATTTTAAAACAAACTAATTAAAATTCCATAACAGCACACACTAGAACAGTGTTTCTCAACCACGTTCCTGGAGGACCTACAAAACTGGTTTTGAATGTCTCCTTTGTCTCTCTCACATATTACAGGTCGTTCAGTTTCTGCTAATGAGCTGATGATCTGAATCAGGTGTGTTTGGTTAAGGAGATATGGAAAACGTGCAGAGCTGGTGGTCCTACAGTAATGTGGTTGAGAAACACTGCTCTAGAATATCTTAAAATACTTTTTCTGTTTTTTTATCAAATGTAACCAAGTAGAAAAAATATTATTATTAATAAATAATGTACCTAGTAGACTGATAATTAAAAGCTTTTTTAAAACTCAACAAAATTTTGTATTAATTTGGCAATATTCCTTATAAAAAAGTAAAACTATTTACAGGTTTTAACAAAAATAAATGAAAACAGATATAATTACACAGTATGTTAATAGGCTGTGAATATTAAAACGAATATGAATAGTTATGACAGCCGAATTATGATTTTTAATTGGCTAAAATTCCATTTAAAAACCGCAAATTATTAAACAAACATAAACATACCAGGAAGACAATGAAGATGGATACGAATATGAATAAATATGACAATTTTGGAGTTCCTCGCCTTGTAATTTGCTAAAGTCTGTTCTGTTTTTATCCCAAAACAGAAAACGGATACCCAGCAGCGCCTTGAACGTGCACAAACTTTACCGCATAACACCGAGTAAACGTCCGCTACAAGTTAAAGCACAGTATAGGACACTCCCAATTTTAAGCACTTACTGAACCGCAGTTATTTACTAAAAAATACACTTTAATGCTTGTTTCTTCAGATTTTAGACCAGATGGTCATGTAAAAAAACTTAAGTAATGAAAAAGGAATCCGCAAAAAACGTACAAGTTATTCGACCCGCATGTACTTATCATCATAAATGTTTTTGATAAGTTATTTTCCCAGCGAATCCATATTATTATAATTATTTGTCACTTCCACTGGTGCGTGTTTAATCTAGCCTTTTAAACCGCGTTAATCTCCCACAAACATCTATAAAAGTATACTCGTATAAAAGCCGCTGATGGTGGAATGGTTTATTCCATGTTGTTCTCACTGAGCAGGCGCAGTGTTGCCAGATTGGGCAGTTTTAAAGAAAATGACATTGGTGGGTTGGCAAAATGCGGGCGGTTTAAAACGTAAATGTTATATGCAACTTATTTAACTAAACATAATTCTGTGCTCCTACTTCATTCAGTGACCAGTGCATAGCGCAAACTGCGTGGGCTCACCCGCAAGCGGGGCTGAAGGGAATTAACGTTAGTTGTATCAAAATCTGACTCCCTGGACAAATCTGACTTCCCTGCGCGTGCACACCCATAGCACAGCGCCCTGCAGTGACAGAGGTTTATCACTGTGACACCTGTATCATTTTTCACTGATTTTTTCCCCCGCAACTGACAGCAGGAACCAACATAGAAGCATTGTCAGATTGACAAACAGCACCTAATTATGTTCAAAAGAATTTAAAACAGCAAATGGCACAAGTTTATACCCCATTTCGAAAGAGTAAGAGGGGGCAGTGTTTCGTTGTGATCCGGTTATCTTGTAGTTTTGTGACAGTTCAAGTAGTTTAATTTAGAGTTTAATAATTTAATATTTTGGGTGGGTTTTGGGAAGAAAAAAGTTAGCTATATCTGGCAACACTGAGAGATAGGAGCCATTTCCCCAACAAACTGCGTCACGTAACATTAGCTATTGCATAAAATGTAAGTATCGTATTTTATTTAATGACTATTACAAAAACATAACTTATTGTTACCTTGTTAGATATAGATAACGTTAGCGGAAAGCGGGGGTCGAGTGTTGGGTTTTATATCATTTTCACTCACCTTCAATAAAAATCTACAAACTGCGATTAATTGCTGCGTTTTTTAGACCGTTGTTATTACTCAATCCCATGTTATACATGTCTTTGTTTTGTTTTTGTAGTTGCTATGCCATAATCTTAATATAGAACAAAATAAAGAGAAAATAATTTGACATTCGAAAGTCAATCAAATAAAATAATATTTAGTTATATTTAGCTAATAACTAAAACGATATAATAAAACCCCAAAGTTACTGTATTAGTAGTTACTGTATTTTCAACACGGTCGAATTTGAGAAGAGGCGTCGAGTTGTTGTTGCTATACGTTTGCGGCCGGAAGTTAACGCGAATTATTTCTATTATTTATTAAATTTCTCATTTGTTGTATTTTATTAACGTCTACCCCCACCCCAACCCTAAACCCAACCGTCACAGTAATGTAAAAACTGTAGTTGTACCGAGTATTAGTTATGTTATCTAAATTACCCAATAAAATGTATTTTTTAACGCCTACCCCAACCCTAAACCCAACCCTCCCAGTACTGTAAAAATATTAATTATTGTTTTACAGTGTCATAAAAAATGCTGTTTTATTAATGTGCACACTCACTTCCGTCGCATATCCGATCTAGACTTTACCAGTTGTTTTCTTCTTTAGAGGAAAAAAAACTTGGATCATACTAAGTGAACCCTAGTAGTGGGGGTGTAGATTAAATAGTATACCCATAACCAAGTGATGTCTACATGTTCGTGTAATATGTACGCACTGAATTTGAATTTACTCAGCATTTATAAATTATTTTAAGTTTACAAACATGTATAAATATAGATTAATTACTCCGATATTGACTCTTAACCAATGTTTCTGTCACTTACATTCAGAGTCGCTGAAGATTAGACGAACCAGTGGTGCTCATGACAACACAATGAGTCACAAACAAACGTTGAAATATTTTTCTCCAGTATGCAGGTACTCATTATATATATATATATATATATATATATATATATATATATATATATATATATATATATATATATATATATATATATATATATATATATATATACATAAATGTTCTCTCAGTTTAATTAAGAATAACTAATTATCAAAATGTAACATGTGACCCTACCTTATTTGCTGTAATTACAGTTCAGTCCAGCAGGAGAGATCAGATTCAGCAGAGCCCAGCAGTGTGTCCGTTAAGAGTCACTGGTCTATAGATCCTCCACCACAAATGACAGAAAGAAGGGACAGTCTCAGGTACACCTTTGTTTATGGTATTTATCTCTTTTATATATATATATATATACACACACACACACACACACACACACCGGCCACTTTATTAGGTACACCTGTCCAATTGCTCGTTAATTTAACCTTCTAATCAGCCAATCACATGGCAGTAACGCAAAGCATTTAGGCATGTAGACATCGTTGAGACGATCTGCTGCAGTTCAAACCGAGCATTAGAATGGGGAAGAAATGTTATTTAAGTGTCTTTGAACATGGCATGGTTGTTGATGCCAGACAGGCTGGTCTGAGTATTTCAGAAACTGCTGATCTACTGGGATTTTCATACACAACCATCTCTAAGGTTTACAACGAATGGTCCGAAAAAGAGAAAATATCCAGTGAGCGGCAGTTCTGTGGGCGGATGGTAGGGTCAGAAATTGTTATCAACAACATGAAAGCATGGATCCATCCTGCCTTGTATCAATGGTTTAGGCTGCTGCTGGTGGTGTAATGGTGTGGGGGATATTTTCTTGGCACACTTTTGGCCCATTCGTACCAATTGAGCATGGTGTCAACACCACAGCCTACCTGAGTACTGTTTTTGACTATGTCCATCCCTTTATGACCTAACTGTACCCATCTGCTGATGGCTACTTCCAGCAGGATAACGCACCATGTCATAAACCACAAATCCTCTCAGACTGGTTTCTTAAACATGACAATGAGTTCACTGTACTTAAATGGCCTCCACAGTCACCAGAACTCAATCCAATAGAGCACCTTTGGGATGTGGTGGAACAGGAGCTTGGCATCATGGATGTGCAGTGCAGCTGACAAATCTGCCGTAACTGCATGATGCTATCATGTCAATTTGGACTCAATTTCCAGTACCTTGTTGAATCTATACCACAAAGGATTAAGGCAGTTCTGAAGGCAAAAGGAGGTCCAATCCGGTACTAGTAAGCTGTACCTAATAAAGTGGCCAGTGAGTTGTGTGTGTGTGTGTGTGTGTATGTATATATATGTATATATGTATATATATATATATATATATATATATATATATATATATATATATATATATATATATATATATATATATTAAAAGTAATTAGACTGAAATGTAACCTCTTCTTTTTCAGCTTAGCTCTGCAGGAAAGATCAGATTCACCAGAGCCCAGTCATGTGTCCATGAAGAGTGACTGGTCTATAGATCCTCCACCACAAATGAAAGAGGAAAATAGGAGGTACACAATTGCTTATGGTATTGACCTATGATGGTTTGTTCTGGTCTGATAAAGTCGACAACAATACAATTTTTTTTTTTTTTTTTTTATAAATAATTCATCAATTTAATTAGGACTAGTTCACTACCAGAAATATTTTTTAGTTTACTTACCCCCCTTTCATCCAAAATAAATTAATTAATTACTTGTTGTCCTTTAATATATACATAAACAGTTTTAAATTGATTGTGTGTAACATTAAGAGCAATGCAATTAAAATTCTTAACCATGGTCATCGAATTGACCACAAGGCAATGTGTAGGTTAACTTCATAGCATTAGAAATCAGCTGAATTCTGTTCAAGTGATAACATCGTAAAACATGAATACAGTGACTTGATGCATTTAATGTAATCTGTGTTCTGTTTCAGTTTGGTTCAGCAAGAGAGATCACCAAAATCCAGCTGTGTGTCTATGAAGAGAGACTGGTCTATAGATCCTCCACCACAAATGAATGATGAAGACGGACAAAAACGTCTGAGGTACCGAATTGCTTGATATTACAGGGGATTTTCTGGTCTCTCTCAGACACATTCTATTTTATAAACCGGCAGAAAGTCTAAAACTCTAAATCGCACTGTAAATGTTAATTATGAAACAATATATAATCTCAAACTGGGTGGCTAAAATGTATAACTTCAAGTTGGAAATAAATCTGTAGGTGCAGCTTTGCTTTATCACAGTCAAGGATGAATACAGTAATTTAATAAATAAAACAATCTCTGTTCTGTTTTAGTTTGGTTCAGCAGGAGAGATCAGATTCAGCTGAGCCCAGTCTTGTGTCCATGAAGAGTGACTGGTCTATAGATCCTCCACCACAAATGAAGGATGGAGACAGACAAAAGAGTCTCAGGTACACAATTGCTTGGTATTTTTGTGGTCTCTCACAGACACAATCATTTATAAACCGGCAGAAACTGTAACACTGTGATTCTAACTGTAATTGTCAATTAAACTACAATATATAAGGAACGATCTCAAAGTGGATGGATAAAAACTTCAAGTTGTTTCAACCTGGAAGAAATCTGCAGGTGCAGCTTTCTTTCTCGTGGTTTCTTATCATTTGCAAGGATGAATACAGTAACTTAATGAATAAAACAATCTCTGTTGTGTTTTAGTTTGGTTCAGCAGGAGAGATCAGATTCACCAGAGCCCAGTCATGTGACCATGAAGAGTAACTGGTCTATTGATCCTCCACCACAAATGACAGACAGAAGGGACAGTCTCAGGTACACATTTGCTTGTGCTAGAAACCCTTCAGGGTCTCTCCTGGTTTCCTAATGGTTTTATAAAATGGCAACATCAGTAATATGTTTGTTTTAACTATTAACATCCCAGTAGCAATGGTTTATAGCAGGGAAATTAACATTAACAAAAAATAATACATTTTGTGATAAATGTACTGTTTATTGTTTGTTTATGTTATGGCCCATTTCCACTGACTGGTACAGTATGGTGCGGTACCGGTCACCTTTATCAGGCTTGCGTTTCAAAGTAAAGCTGTACGGGTCGTTCATATATCACATGAGAAGCACTTCTCACAAAACAGATGCTTTACACACATAAATACTTGTGTATAAATGTTTATTACTATTTTTTTCTATGAACAGGATTTGATTATAACTGCAGATCAATGACAGTGCAAAACAGCCTACTGTAACATCTGCAATTATATAAAATAAATATATAAATGCAACATATATGAACACATACAGACCCTTACAGTCTCCGATATGTTACCAATTACAGAAAAATTACACACAGCATACATTTAGTCCTTATTTGAATTTAAAAACAACACGCAACATACAGCCCACAGTCAGAGCAAACCTCACACATGTGTCTTTAATCTTCAGCAGCACATGTAACCTCTGTTATAGAGTAACTTCGTCATTCCAAGTTGATAATAGTCCAAAAGGCGATAATAAACATGGCAGTTTGTTCATGATTCAGGTTGCTGAAACAATTTGCTCCTTTGTTTTGTCTGGCTTTTCCTTTGTTTTTTCACGCTTCACTCTCAAGTTTATACTTTTCTGAAAGGATCGTATGTTGGAAGCGCTTCAATAATCATGCGCACGGTATTATCATCAGCTCAAGAAGTTCCTTATTTCAAATATAGAAATGCACATGAGCAATTGCAAATAACCGCTCGCACTTTTAGACAGCTTTGTAAAACAAAAACAGGACACGGAAAATTCTGCTCTTCTTGGCTTTGTGGCTGTTCATCAAGACAACAACAAGGTTTGTTTGCGCTCGGGTCGACCATGGCCTGTTATTATTTGCATATAGTATTATGATGTAATGTCTAGGCTGTGTATTTAAAACATGGCTGTTCCTTTGTTTTTATTCAGGCTAGCTCCACGAGCGATTGATGCATCTCTGTAAACCAATAGTGTTTGGTACCCTTTAGTACTGCTAGGTACTCTTTGCAAAGGATAACCAAAAAGTGGTACGACATGGTTCACTTTTAGGTACTTTTTGACAGTGGAAACGGCCATAAAAGCGTACCGAACTGAACTGTACCATACCTTACCACTCAGTGGAAACGGGCTATTAGTAATGTATTGGCTAATGGATCAATATTTGAAGTGTTAACCTATTTATAATTAAAGTGCCTGCTTATCAATTTACAATATGCTGTAAAGGCAAATCCCGCGACCCAGACCTGGTGCAGAAGAACCCATCAGTAAGAAAATGAAATATGACGAGTCTGTGATTAAATCACAAGAATGTATGGAAAACCCATCTCTCATCTTCAGGTAAAATGCGTAGTTTCGATTAATAAGCAGTGACACAATCTATGAGTTCTTCTGTTGATTTTTACATGTTCCTGTTTAACTGTAATAATGTGGTATATTAATTTTTCAGCCATGAAGTCAACACGTTCAGAGTAAATCTACTAAAGAAGTTTCAGTGTCTGTATGAGGGAATGGTGACGCAAGATAACCCAGCACTCCTGAATGAGATCTACACAGAGCTCTACATCACAGAGAGTGAGAGTGGAGAGATCAGTAATGAGCATGAGGTGAGACAGATTGAGACACAATCCAGGAGATCAACAACAGAGGACACAGCGATCAAATGCAGAGACATCTTTACACCTTTACCTGGACAAGACAAAGCCATCAGAACTGTGCTGACGAAGGGAGTCGCTGGCATTGGAAAAACAGTCTCTGTGCAGAAGTTCATCCTGGACTGGGCTGAAGAGAAGGAGAATCAGGACGTCCAGCTCATATTTCCACTTCCTTTCAGAGAGATCAATCTGATGAAGGACAAAACACTCAGTCTGTCAGATCTTCTGCAGCTCTTTTTCCCTGAAACAAAAGAAATTGACATTTTTAGTGACAAATATAAAATATTGTTCATCTTTGATGGTCTGGACGAGTGTCGTCTTCTCTTAAATTTTAAAAGCAATGAGATTCTACAACATGTGACCAAAACATCATCAGTGGACGTGCTGCTGACGAACCTGATTGTGGGGAATCTGCTTCCCTCTGCCCTCATCTGGATCACCTCCAGACCAGCAGCAGCAGATCTCGTCCCCTCTGAGTGTGTCCATCGAGTGACAGAGGTACGAGGCTTCAACGACCCTCAGAAGGAGGAATACTTCAGCAAGAGAATCAGTGATCAGAGTCTGGCCAATACAATCATCTCACACCTGAAGTCCTCCAGGAGCCTCTACATCATGTGCCACATCCCAGTGTTCTGCTGGATCTCAGCCACTGTTCTAGAGAAGATGTTGAGTGAAGCAGAGACTGCAGAGATTCCCAAGACTCTCACTCAGATGTACACACACTTCCTGATGGCACAGATCAACACCAAAGACATGAAGTATACTGGAAAAAAAGACAAAGACATGATCTTCAAACTGGGGAAACTGGCGTATGAGCAGCTGGAAAGAGGCAATGTGATCTTCTATGAAGAAGACCTGAGAGAGTGTGGCATTGATGTGGCAGAAGCTTCAGTTTACTCAGGATTGTGCACTCAGATCTTCAGAGAGGAGTTTGGCTTGTATCAGGGGAAAGTCTTCAGCTTTATTCATCTGAGTGTTCAGGAACATCTAGCAGCTCTATATGTGCACCTCTTATTCACAAACCACAACAGAAATGTGTTTGAGCAAATGACCAAAAAGACTTCCAAAACTTTAGATATTTTGGATTGCTTTCACAGTAATTCACCAGAAAATGTTTTATTATCTGAGCTGCATCAGAAAGCTGTGGATGAGGCTCTACAGAGTAAAAATGGACACCTGGATCTTTTCCTGCGGTTTCTTCTGGGTCTGTCATTGGAGTCTAATCAGATTCTCCTACAGGAACTAATGATAAAATTCAGAAGCAGCTCAGACAGCAGTGAAAAAACAGTTGAGTACATCAAGAAAAGGATCAATAACATTTGCCTTCCAGAGAAATCCATCAATCTGTTTTACTGTCTGAATGAACTGGGGGATCATTCACTAGTGAAAGAAATACAACAGTACATGGATTATGGAACACTGGCTGAAACCAAAATCTCATGTGGTCAGTGGTCAGCTTTAGTGTTCATTTTATTGACAGTAGAGCAAGCAATGGATGTGTTTGAGTTGAATAAATTTATTGGATTGAAAAAATCCTCTGATGAGGTTCTTCGGAAACTCCTGCCAGTGATTAAAAAATCCAGATCAGCAATGTAAGTAGCACATTTGATCACTACACTATTAAAACATATTGCATCTATGTGAACTAAGTGATGACCTGTATTTCCATCGACTAAGTAACAGACAACCATATCCATATCACACACACACACATTCTTAAATGGGCTAATAATTTTGTCCCAAAAGTGTTTTTTTTTTTTTTTTTATTAAAAACTGCTTTTATTCTAGCTGGAAAAAAAATACTTTTTTTCAGGAGAAAAAATATTATCAGACATACTGTGAAAAATTTCTTTGCTCTGTTAAACATCATTTGGGAAATATTTAAAAAATAAAAAAAAATAATAAAAAGGGGGCTAATAATTCTGACTTCAACTGTGTATGTATGTATATATATATATATATATATATATATATATATATATATATATATATATATGATTGGATTAAGGCAGCTAAGAATATTTGCACTATAATATGTGACCCTGGACCACAACACCAAGGGTCTATTTTTGGACATTGAGATTTATACATAACCTAAAAGCTAAATAAGGATCACATCCATTAATGTATGTAAGGTTTGTTATGATAAGGCAATATTTGGCAAAGATATTTGAAATTCTGTAAACTGAGGTTTCAAAAATGATAAAATACTGCGAAAGATTGCCTAAATTAAGCTTTTATCTATGCACATTACTAATCAGCAATTGAGTTTTGATATATTTACAATAAGCAATTTACTAAATAACTTTGTGTAATATTATCTCATAATATTCAAATCATTTTTGGCATAAAAAATCTCAATATCAATTCGATGCAAAGTATTTTTTGGCTATTTCCTGAAATATACCTGTGCAACATAAGACAGGGTCCATATATCCAGGGTCACACATTACTGTTATTTTAGACAATATTATTACAATTATAAATATTTATTAGTATTAGCACAATTATAAATATTTATTAGTATCCCCTGTAATACATTTTTGCATTCCTGGAAAAGTAAATGTATAATAACTTTGACAGACAAGGAAAATTAACCCCATTGGACCATTGCATAACAACTCAGGATAGCCATAACTTCTGTATTTTAACTTATAATACATAAACTTGTTTTTTAACTAAAATTTGTAGTAAATGATGTTGTCAATCTCTCAACAGCATGGACGACTGCAACATCACGGCTGAAGGTTGTGCTTATTTGGCTTCAGCTCTTGGATCAAACCCCTCATATCTAAGAGAACTGGATCTGTCTGCAAATAAACTACAAGATTCAGGAATAAAAAAATTATCTAAAGGACTTCAGGATTCTCATTGTAAACTGGAGAAACTGAAGTAAGATTTTCTCTTGATGTTTTATGCCTGTTTAAAGAATGATCTATTATGAATTGTAAAACGTCATAATTTGGTCCCCTACAACAGGCGGCTGTACATGAAATGTCTTTCCTTGTCTTAAAATTTGCATTTATTTTTACCTAAATATCCCAACGACTCCCATATATTTGTTCAACAATTAATTTTTACAACCCCCTCCTCTGTGTGATACTAATCTGTGGTGATTGGTCCAATGCAACAGCCACAGCCATATCACCCTGCATTCCAAGACCGTTTTCTCACTGAAGCTAAGCAGAGCTGAGCCTGGTCAGTACCTGGATAGGAGACCACATGGGAAAATTAGGTTGCTGTTGGAAGTAATGAGCAGGGGGTGCTCAATCTGTGGTCTGTGTGAGTCCTAATGCCCCAGTATACTGAAGGGGAACTATACTGTCAGTGAGTGCTGTCTTTCAAGTGAGACGTTAAACTGAAGTCCTGACTCTCTGCGGTCATCAAAAATCCCATGGCACTTCTTGTAAAGAGTTTAACCCCGGTGTCCTGGCTAAATTCGCTCCCTCAGCCCTTACCCATCATGGCCTACCAATCATCTTCATCCATTGAATGGGCTCTTTCACTTTCTCTCCACTCCACCTATAGCTGGTGTGTGGTGAGCGCACTGGCGCCATTGTCCAGTGGCTGCCGTCGCATCATCCAAGTGGTGGTGATGGTGTGGAGAGTCCGACATTCAACTGAAGAACGTGGGGTGGGGGGTGTTTGGGCGATTGTGAAAAACGGGGTGTGTGTTTGCAACGTCGCAATTGAAGAGTGGTTGATAGGGGATGTTTGGGCTATTGTGACTTAAGCAGGTCGCACACCAGAAGCGCCGTGAGACGGTGCGCACATGACAGTTTAAAGCATCACACACCAGACGTGCACATTCGCATGATATTTAACATGGAACTAATCAGTTGGTGCTCTGTGGCGCGGCTGAAATATGAACTGCGTCTTGAGTTGTGGCCGGGTGCCGCCGACTTGCGGCGCCGATGTTTGTACGCTGATAGAAACCTATGTTTAGAATTCTAAAATGCATGGCGCTGTGTGACGCTGCGCGGTATGCTGCCGAGTGGTGCTTCTGGTGTGCAACCTGCTTTAAGTGAAGAGCGAGGGGTGGGGGGGTGTTTGGGCGATTGCGACTTCGTAAGTGAAGAGCAGGGGGTGGGGGATGTATGGGCAATTGCGACATCGCAAGTGAAGAATGGGGTATGTGGGGTGTGTGATTGCAACATCGCAATTAATAAGTGGGGAATGGGGGTTGTTTGGGCGATTGTGACTTCGTAAGTGAAGATCGGGGGGTGGGAGATGTTTGGGCAATTGCAACATCGGAAGTGAAGAGCGGGGGGTGTTTGGGCGATTGCGACATCGCAAGTAGGGGGTGGGGGGTTGGGCAGTTGCGACGTTGCAAGTGAAGAACGGGGGTGTTTGGGCGATGGCAACGTGAGTGAAGAGTTGGGGGAGGATTTGGGTTGGGGATGATTGCGATGTCGCAACTCGCAAGTGAAGAGTGGGGGGTGTTTGGGCGAATGCAACTTTGTAAGTGAAGAGCAGGGGGTGGAGCAGTTTGGAATTGCAATGTTGTAAGTCTGGAGCCCCCTTGCAAGACATCTCTGGGCCCCTAAATTGCCTGGGCACTATGCCCTCTGTCGCCACTCCTACTTCGATTTTGCGATGCCCCTTTGTGTCAGGATAGTGGCTGATTCAAAAACAAGATAAACATCCTATGCTAATGAGGGAGAGATGGTCACAAGTGGGTGGGGCTTTCCCCCTCTGAGGACACGTACAAAGGGAGAATGTCAAAGTGTTTCTGCAGACTGTTTTTATCAAGTGTGATTATGAAAAATAGAATGAATTAATTGTTACTTTTAAAAGCTGGTTACTGTATATTCACAAACTGCTGCCACACAGCTGTGTTTAAACCCCTACTAAAAGTGATTTTTGCATAATAGGTCCTCTTTAGGACTGAAATGTATTTAATGATGTTTATGATGACTTTTATTTTTGCCAGTCTTTACCATTGTGGTGTCACAAATGAAGGTTGTGCTGCTCTGGCATCAGCACTGAAATCAAACCCTGAACATCTGAGAGATCTGAATCTGAGTGAAAATAAAATCGGAAATTTGGGACTCACGTGCCTTTCTGAAATACTGAAAAATTCTCTCTGTAAACTGGAGATATTGAGGTAAGATCCCGATTAGCAATATTAATCCCATTTATATTTATGACTGAAAATAGTGCACAATCTTTTAAAAAAATGTTCTTCATAGGTTGTGTCAGTGTGGAATCACAGATTGCACAGATTTGGCTTCAGCTCTGATATCAAACCCAGAACACCTGAGAGAGCTGGAATTGTCTCTGAATAAAATAGGAGACTCTGGAGTGACTGCTCTCTGTGCTGCATTTGAAGATCCCCGCTTCAAGTTGGAGAAACTGGGGTATCCTGATCTGAAGGACATGATATACTGGTGTTTTCTCTGTAATGAGGATTCTGTTAAATGATATTTTTGTTCACTGCAGGTTGAGTGGTTGTGGTCTCACAGATGAAGGTTGTGCTGCTCTGACGTCAGCTCTCAGATCAAACCATGAACACCTGAGAGATCTAGATCTGAGTGGGAATAAAGTAGACAAAGAAGTCAAAGGTTCAATTCTACAGCGCATTTTGGAAAAACTGAATAATATTCAGTGAGTCATACGTTTTAGATAAATTAAAAATATAATTTGTTTGAGTATATGTTAAAGATGTTAAAGAGCCCCTATTATGCATTAAAAGAGGTCATATTTTGGTTTTGGGGTCTCCAACAACAGGCCGATATGCATGCAAGGTCCAAAAACACTTTCATTGTCTCATAGTATGCATTTATTTTTACCTAATTATCCCAACGACTCCCAGATGATTTGTTTAGCGATTCATTTGTTATCAAAACCCTCCTTAGCGCAATGCTAATCTGCGCTTTTTTGTCTGATGACCCAGTCTATTGCGATTAGTCGACATATCAACATTGTTGAAGTAGTCAGAGTGCAGAGTATAAGTGTGAGCCCATTAAAGCAATGCAGTTAAACACCAGCACATTGCTCAATTCTTAGCCATAAGTAAAAACAGGGACACACATTCAGCATTAATCCAAACAACGGCAAAAGCTGAACTATTTTGAAACCTGACTGCTACATGTGTGCAGGAACAGCTGATGGTGGCAACAGCAACGACAAATAGCAGAGGATCACGAGTTCACAAACGCATTTAAATTCATAAACAAATTGGCACTTGGACACGTTTTTAGTGTAGTTTTAGATGTGATATGAGAATATACAGAGTTAACCTGATAAGAGTACAAGCTGCATTGAGCAGTTACAAGTAACAAAACACAATTAAATAGATCATTTGCAAGCTCGAAAAAACAAGGAGGCAACCATTTGTGAAATGGAGCAAGGAACTGATCCATGAATTATGTACTGTTAAGTTCATGTCAAGCTCTGACAAAGTCCCACACATCAATAGTCTTTTCTGATCTTTCTTTAACAAAAAGCAGACGAATCCCCTGTTGGAAGCATGTAGATTGCTGAAGCACTCGTCAGAAAAATGACGAGAACACAGCACAAGGCTGGGGCTATAATGCTGAGGTATTTTTGCAAAAATAAACTTCAACCACTGACTCTTCACAGCGTCATCACATGTTTGGGTAGGGAAAATAACACTAACTTTCCCCCACTGCAAAAAATGCTTTTCTTACTTAGATTTTTTTGTCTTGTTTCTAGTCCAAATATCTAAAAATTCTTATGTCAGGAAGTATTTTCTAGGCAAGCAAAATATTTTGTCTTTTCTTCAGAAATAATATTCCAAAATTAAGTTAGTTTTTTCTTAAAACAAGCAAAATAGTCTGCCAATAGGGTAAGCAAAATAATCTTGTTTTTCCTTTTGACATGAGATTATTTTGCTTGTTTTAAAACAAGACAATATGTTTTGCTTGTCTTAAAAATTCTTCTTGATTTTAAGAATGTTTAGATATTTGGACTAGAAACAAGACAAAAAATCTTAGTAAGAAAATCCTTTTTTGCAGTGCTCACACTTCAGAGCACAGTGTGTTGCGACACAATTAAACTGGGGTCTGCTACAGTGTTCTTCTTTTTCTGTGCTAGTGTTTGTGGACAGGGGCGCAGGTTTAAATTTTCCTGGGTCTGCGCGTGCAACAAATGAGCATGGCTTGAGTTCTGTATTGACGTTACGCTGACACGGCTAAAGACGAGCTAAACACACTGACTCGTTATCAAGACGATTCATTTGAACCACTACGAGTCGACCCTTTTATAGATGAATCAGTAGTTTTAAACACGGTGCACTTTCAGCTTTCACTTTTTTAGCTGGATATTTCACTTAGAGCTGTGTTACACTACATGGAAATCATTTTCAAAAACCCATAATAGAGGCTCTTTAAAACTATTAAATTAAAGGTTGATTTAAAAAATGTAGAAAAAATAACCTAATAAATAGAAATATTAAGAAAATTGGGGTGGCTCAGTGGGTTGCGCTGTCACCTCACAGCAAGAAGGTTGCTGGTTTGAGTCTCGGCTGGGTCAATTGGCATTTCTGTGTGGAGTTTGCATGTTCTCCACGTGTTGCCATGGGTTTTTCCGGGTGCTCTGGTTTCCCCCACAGTTCAAACACATGCACTATAGGTGAATTGGGTAAGCTAAATTGTCTGTAGTGTTTGAGTGTGTGTGAATGAGTGTGTGTGGGTGTTTCCCAGCGATGGGTTGCAGCTGGAAGGGCATCCACTGTGTAAAACATATGCTATATAAGTTGGCAGTTCATTCCGCTGTGGTGACCCCTGATGAATAAAGGGACTAAGCTGAAAAGAAAATGAATGATTGTTTTAATAGTAAATGGAAATGTACTAAATATTTTCCTAGAGCAGTGGTCACCAAACTTGTTCCTGGAGGGCCGGTGTCCTGCAGATTTTTGTTCCAACCCTAATCAAACACACCTGAACAAGCTAATCAAGGTCTTACTTGGTATACTTGAAACATCCAGGCAGGTGCATTGAGGCAAGTTGGAG